GGGCCCCATGGACCTCGGCGCCTTCGACGTGGGAACTTTTCGGTGACGGCGCGGCGGTCAAGTCAGAGACCTACTCGCAAGCACGGCAGCGTGCAAGAAGCAATGGGTCATTGCCTCCCTTGACATCAACATGGCTTTTCTGCAGGGACTGACCTATCAGGAACTTGCTGAGGCAACCGGTGAAAACGAACGTGCGGTGTGGTTTACCCTGCCACCTGGACCAGCATCGGCGCTGCGATCCCTCCCAGGATTCAAGCACTCGACGCACTGCTTACAGCGCTTCAAGCCAGGTACCGGCACCAAGTATGCACCCAGAACCTTTTCACTGAAGCTCCGAAAGGCCACAATGGGGTTTGGTCTCAGACCCACGCCCTACGACGAGGAGTCCGAGACAAGCAACACTCGTCTCACAGCCAAGCACGTAGATGATATTAACAGGGCCGGCACTGAGTACACCATCGACAGGTGCGTCAAATGCGTTGAGGATACGTCTGGCAAGTGGAAACTCAACAAAAATGCGCATACAAATTGCTAGATCAAAACGGATACATAAAACAGCTCCGTCCTATGCAACATCCTGAACTCACTGGCGCAGACGCCGACGCCTAGGCGTCCAAGATTGTCACTGACATGTCTGTCAGCCTCAGAGCTTCTTTGGCTTACGCATTAATCACGCAGGTCTGGCTGGTAGCATATGTTATTTCCCTACAGCGTGCCCAAGAACCCACCAACATACACGTGCGACGGCTGAACGCGATTACCAGGAAGCTGCCAGCCTGCCTAAAGAAGATCATCAATCGATCGATGACCCCAACGTGCGAGGTCGACCTGCGCAGCGACTCTGGCGATCGACGCCTGAGCGGAGATGCTGATGGCGAGGTCAAGGGCTATGGGACTCGCGGGGCAAACCTGCTACGGCGTGGAAACACGCCTGCTGGTGCGCCGGTCGCCCCTTTTATCGATGCGTACTGCAAGTCTCGCCGCTTGCAGGTCCGCTCGAGCTACTCAGCAGAAACACGAGCAGCAGCCCAAAACTTGGAAGACTGCTTTCCCACGATCGTCACTCTGCACGGACTCCACGCAGGGCCGCTGACACCCACTCAGCTGAAGGATATACTGGAGATGGGCGGCCTGAGCATTAAGGTCACTTTGGCCATAGATGCGGAATTTGTCTTCGAATCCCTGTCCAGCAAAGATCTGAAGAAACCGGCCGAGTGTATTCTTTTGGGACACATCAGGTGGATACGACAGATGATGGAGCGAAGTATCGCGCATAGTACACAGTGACATGACTCGCGACATGATTGCCGGCGGTCACACCAAAGGGAACATCGACAGAGATATGCTCTTATAGGTCATGGGAGGAACGCAATCCTTCAAGCACGGTTTAAACATGTCATACTCCGCACCGGTTTTGCCAGACAACGTCGTCCGAGGCCGCCTGAGAAATACTCGCCTGCAGCGCGATCTGCTCGCAAGGCATCTTGAGTGCAAGGGCGCTTGCGCGCGGGTCAACCTTCCTTTTGAACCTGCGTGTTGCTGCCTTCTTTGTGTAAATCGTGCTTACTGCGTAGCGGGCGGCGGACTGGCGCTTCGCCCCCCCCCCCCCCCCGACTCTAAAAGGGAGCTGGGGCAAAAGCGAGAGATGTCGAGCGTTTGCCCGCGGCCGGTTGTACTCAAACGGCCGGCCGCCAAGGTATGACTGCGCCTCATCGCGAGGCGCGCCCCGTGCCATCGAGACCGAAAACATCTTTGCTTGAGATGGCCCGTCGCTCCCGCGACTATCTCCTACTTTTGGGGCTATCACTACTCCGGTACGACAGAGTTGGATATGGGCTTCGTCTTAGTCGAAGCTGCTGGTTGGGCCTCCAAACCACTTTCAAACTTCGTGTCCCCGCAGGGATCCCCGCCCAAGGCATCGGTGGCGCAGTTCGCGCGACGGCGTCGCGCAACCTGCCGCGCGCCCATCGCGCCCTTCGTGGCCCCGCAAGGGGGTCCACAGAAGGCCCTAGGCTGGCGCATCTCGCCTGGTTCCCGAGGCTGGGCGCGCCGTTCCCGAGGCCGGGCGCAGTTTGCCCGGCGGCGTTGCGCGCCTGTCGGCACGCCCTTTACACGGACTGTGGCCGCATAGTAAGTTCCACTTTGGGTTCCAGTGGCGCAGGCTCCATGGTGGCGTCGAACCCGCGTCGGCGCACACAGTGAAAACCGACATGAGGGCCCCAGCGGCGCAATTCGCATGGTGGCGCCGCGCCCTTTTCGGCACACTCCTCTTCGTGGCCGCACAGGGAGCCCCACCGAAGGCCCCACTTGCGCAGCTCGCCTGATGACGTCGAACCCGCGTCGGCGCACCTTTTCCGTTGGGAGTCCCATTGAAAACCGCAGAAACGCAGTTTGCATGGTGGCGTTGCGCCCATGTCGGCACACCCCTCACGCGTATCTCGGCCCCACACGGAGCTTTACCGAAGGCCCCAATGGCGAAGGTCGCAGGATGGCGTCGCACATTTCAGCGCACACCCTACACGTTCGTGGCCCCACAAGGAACTCGACCAAAGGCTCCTGTGGCGCAGTTCGCATGGTGGGTCTGCGCCCATTCCAGCACACCCCTCACACGTTTCGCGGTTTCACACGAGCTTCACCGAAGGAGCCCTACCTCTAGGGTTCCAGTGGCGACGTCCGCGTGCCGCCCTGGACCCACTCGGGCATTCCCCTCGCACGCTTTGTGACTTCGGGGGCCCAGCCCAAGGCCCCAGCGGCAGCGTGCGCATGCCGCCCCGCGCGCGCGGTTCGTGGCCCCATAAGGAGTTCCGCCCGCGGCCCCAGCGGTGGCGTCAGCATGCGGCCCCGCACCCTTGTTGGCGCACCCCCCGCGCGGTTCGCCGCCCCACATGGCGCTCCGCCTGAGGCCCCAGTCGCGACGTTCGCATGCCTTCGGCGCGCCCATCGCACGTTCCGTGGCCCGACAGGAAGCCCCACAGAAGACGATCATCACAGCTGCGTTGTTCATAATTGCATATGGCTGGGCCTTGTCGGCTGGATAAGTTCAAACGCGTTGTTGTCACCCGTTGCGTCCGTGGCGCTTTGCTTGCAGACCTGCCGCGGTTGACCATGCAACGCGCGTGTCCGCCTCCCCCCCGCCCCACGCTTCGCAGGCAGTTTGCAAACAGATGCGCCGCCAATTCGGCGAGGTGCGAATTGAAGCAGCCAGCCCTGCAGCGAGTGACGGCCGATTCTGCGGCGATCCCCCAAGCAGGGTTGGCTGGCGGCTTCGCGAAGTCTGCTCCCAATTATTTGGGGAGCTTGCTCTCGATGCGCAGAACTAGATTGCCAGCGGGCGGGGCAAATCGCCTGGAGAACTTGCCGTGTGAAAAGGCGGCCAGGAGAGGGGGGGCCAGATTTGCCGCGCAGCGCAGCCGAGTTGTCCTCCGCGGAGCGGCCACTTCTGAAAATTAGCCCGCTGTGCGCCGTCTTCGCTGGGGCACGCAACTGCAGAGCGCCCGCCAACCAATGTGCATGCCCGCGGCGCGAAAGCAAGCAGATGTGCATGGCTGTTCGGCTCCCGCGCTTGCCGAGGGCGCCACAGTCTCAGTTGCGCGACTGCGGCGCTTGGGTAAACATGTATGTGGGCCAGGTCCCTCGGGGCCCGCACCAGCAGGGAGCTCGATATTCCAACTTGTGCGTCCTTTCTTGTGCGCTTGGGTTGATCGCTGGTGCGGGCCACGTATTTGGAGCGAGACGGGATCGAAGCGAATGTATTTGCATGCTCTCGACCGTAGTGTGCATGGCGGCGCCGCCACATAACTACCTCTGTGACGAGGGATCGGGTCATATGGCAAGCATCCCTTGCTGCGCGCTTGCCCGCGCCACGTATGCACTACAATACAAATCTGGGACAAACGTCTATGGACGGTGCTGCTGCGAAGAGGCAGCAGCAGTAAACCACCTCCGTCCCCAACCACTTCACCATTCACGCTGTCACTGAATTATGGCTTGCAAGGTGCCCGAAGCACCTCGTGCTTCAGCCACCGCGTAAACACGCTGCTTCAGCGCAGCAATCTGCGTGGCAGATGCGTCACGAGGTCACCCCCGGCGGGGGATGTATACTTTACACGATGGCTTGAGACCTGAGCGTGCTCACTCCACCACGTAAAAACGTGCTGTGCTGTGCGGGCACAGCACCTGTGCCTGAAGTACACTTGCATGTGATGTAGAAGCTGGAAAAAAGAAGTAATGCATGAAACAATCATTGCTACAGTCACGTGAATCAATGGCGAACTGCGCATACGCTAATAATCATCCAGATGTGCTGGTCAGTTGCACGTGAGGTTAAGACATCGGAATGGCGTAGGAGCACCCGTTGGTGCTGCCGTCGGGGCAGCAGGCGGAGAAACTTGACGGTGCCGCCGTCGGTACCGCTGTAGGTGCGCCTGCGGATGCAACCGCCGGGGCAGCAGTCGGTGAATTTGTCGTTGACTCTGTAGATGTTGCAGTGGGCGCTGCTGTTGATGCAGCCGTCGAGGAAGCACTCACTCAGCTTGTCGGTGCTGCTGATGGTGCTGCTGCGGGTGCTGCTGTTGGTGCAGCCGACGGGGCAGCAGTCGGTGAACTTGTCGGTGCCGCTGTCGTTGCCGGCGGTGGACGTGTCGGTGACTTTCGACCGACGGAGCAACGGTCGGCGACCTCGTCGGTGCCGCTGTCCGCGCGACCGTCGGTAATAACCAATGCCACTGTCGGCGCGGCCGTTAGCAGTCGGCGCGGCAGTTGGACCGCCCAGAGGTGCAGCCCTCGAGGCAGCAGTCGGCGAACTTGTTGACGCAGCGGATGGTGCTGCGGTAAATACCGCTGTCGAATATTGCTGTCGGTGCAGCCGTCGTGGCAGCAGTCGGTGAAACTTGTCGGCGACCTGGTCGGTAGCTCTGTCGGTGCGGCCGTCTGGGCAGCAGTCCGAAACATGTCGGCGTCGCTGCTGGCGCGGCTGTCGGCACGGCCGTCGGTAATAACCAATGCCGCTGTCGGCGCGGCCGTTGGAGACCCTGTTGGAGCAGCAGTCGGCGCGGCAGTTGGACAGCCCAGTGGTGCAGCCCACGCGGCAGCCCCGGCGACGCTGCGACCCTGAGGCGACGGCGGTCAGCGGCAAGGAAGCTGGGAAGAAGCGCTCGAAGCTTGGCGAGATGATTCAGACCAGGATCACGGGCCAGATGCTGCCGACCGCGGGCGCTCCCAGTTCCTCGATTGGTGGACAGGCTGGCTCGGACGAGAAGGCGGTGCTGCGCGCGCTGGCGAACTACCTTCGCAAGAAGGGGCCCGGCGACCCGCTCGACGGCGACGAGGGGCAGATTGTTGGAGAGAGGCCTGCCGCCGCGAAGAGGCTCGCCTACAAGCGCATCGCGCATGGGGCGCCGGGCCGGTTAGCTGAGATGGAGATGGAGAATATGGCCCAGTACCTGGACATAGACGAACGGGACGACGACGCTTCCCAGGTCAGAGCCGTCGCGGCGAAGTTCCTCTTGAGGGCGCTGCGACCCGCTCACACGGTCGAGGAGATTGGCGAGGACAGGTGCAGGGAGCTGCGGGCGCTGTGCGAGTGCGCCGACCTGATCGTCAAGGGCAGGCCTGTGCACGCGCTGGACTACAACTTCTGCAGGATCAAAGCGCTGCAGATGGCGATCAGGGACGGCCGCGCGCGAACGGCGAAGTGGTTCGAGCCGATCCCTCCCGACAGCGGAGGCCTCAGCTTGTCGTTTGAGGGCGAGGAGGTGGTTGCCGGCATCGAGGCGGCGGAGGTCAGGGCGGCCCAGCTGCTGGGGAAGCTGGGCGGCCGCGGCTCGGACATTGGCCGGGGTGGATTCACTGGATCGCCGCCTTGCCCCGATGGCCACCGCCATGGCGGGGGCCCGGGCCCCGGAGACTCGCCCATTGTGAACATCGCCATGCCGGCCCCTGCAGCTGGACTACGAGATCGAAATGGACTGCGCCCTCCCGCTGGCCGCCAGAGGTTGGCGCTGGCCGAGCCGACGGCACCGCCGCCGGAGAGCGCCTTGCCAGCGCTGACAGACTTCCAGGGCCCCCAAGCGGTGGACGCGTCGCTCTTGTCAGCGCGGGTTTCGGCTCGGGCGAGCATGCCCCGCGCCGAGGGGAAGAGCAGGAAGCAGCTCAAGAAGAGGATCGCGCAGGAGTTCCTCAAGCGCAAGGCTGGGCCCAATAACGCCCAGCAGAAGGGCGGCCCGCCGCGGCGGGCGGTTCAGCTGGAGCGCTGAGGTGCGTGACAGCAGAGGTCAGGGCGGAGCAGCTGCCGCGCGGCGCCGCGCCCTGCGGGGCAGTGGCGTCGCCTTTCCGCGCCGTGCCCGACGCGGCGGAGGCGCGCGGGGCTGCCGACGCCGTGCCCTGCGGGGCGGTGGCGTCAGCTCGGCAGCCCGCTGGCGCCGTGCCCTGCGGGGCGGCGGCGCCCCCCCTCCGCGCCGGGCCCACTGTGGCGGCGGGGCAGGGGGGCGCTGACGCCGCGCCATTCGGGGCGGGGGCGTCGGCGGAGCAGCCCGCAGCGGCCTCGACCCTGAGCCAGTGGAAAGCTGCTGCTTCTCCCCGCCTATGCCGCTCGAGAGGCTCCAAGATGGCAGCGCTGGAGATCGGCTTCGGGATCCTCATCAACGCGCGAAGGAGCAAGATCGACGAGTTCCTGATGAGATGTCCCAAGGGCGTCGCGCCACAATTGTCGGCGTCCGGCGTTGGGCGCGATGCGTTGCCACTACCAGTGAGGGGGCCGACGCCCCTACTTGCTTGGGAACGAGAAATGAAGAACAAAGGTCTGCTCAACGAGGAAGGATCCCCCGTCAATCTAGAGAGGTGGACGAAACCCCTGAGGGTTGAAGCCCAGGAGATCGCCAGACAGGTCTGGACCTTCCTCGGCGTCATGGGCCTTAACTACTTGTACTTGGGCCATCTCAGTAAGGACCGTTGGGAAGCTGCTGGAGCTTGCTCCTATGGGTCCAGTTGGCTAGCCTGCGCGTGATCGGTGAGACGGTCGACTGGCGCGTAGACGACGCTTTGAAGGAGTTGGAGATGCCCCACTGGCCTCAGGACCTGTTGAAGAGTCGGACCAGCTACAACCTCGACGAGGACTGCTGGCCCCTGCCGCTCAACTTTCTGGAGCTCGGGCCGGGGCCCCCGAAGGCCGAGGACATCAGACGCCTGGACGTCCTCGAATGCGCGGGGCCGGACCTGCAGGACCTGCTCACGAAGCCCGAGCTCTCTCTCTCTCTCTCTCTCTCTGCTGCTGGAGGCTGACTGGCCACCTACGCCGCCGAGGGCCAAGATGAACGTCGAGCGGATCGAGGACTGGTGGCTCATCGCCGCGAAGTTGGTGGAGCTCGGGCTACTCAAGCCCATGGCCCCATATAAGTTTTTCCAGGCGCATGGGCAGAGGGTCGCCGACGGCCCATTCGCAGTCTCCAAGACTGGTGCTCCCGGGCCCAGAGCGAGCAGGGTCGCAAGGTTGATTTTCAACATGGCCCCGACCAACGCGTACTCGAAGCCGATGGCGGGTGACTCGCCCACGTTGCCCCCCCCCCCCCTGCTCGGGCCAGTACCTCGCCGGGGCCGGTGGAGGTCCTGCCCTGGAGCGGGGGCGACCAGAAGGGTGCCTTCATGCATCGCATCCCGGAGCCTTGGTTGGGCTATATGACGGCGTGCACTCCTGTTCCTGGCCGCGTCTTAGGGATAAATGCGAAGGAGGTCTGGCTGGCCATGGCGGCGCCCCCCATGGGCTGGGTGCGCAGCGTGGCCATCTTCCAGAGCATCCACTGGAGAGTCGCCCTCTTGGATGAGCCCCACGGGGCCGCCCTCCCTGCCACGAGAGAACGGAGGAGAGACCGTCCAGTGCCGGCTTCGGCGGCCGCCCCGCTGGCCCGCGAGGGCTCGTGAGACTTGTGGGGCACCTGCATTGACGATTTCGATGCTGGCGAGGCCCATGACTGGATGGCTGCCATGCCATTGATCGGGCGGCCACCTCCAGGCTCGCATGAGAGAGAGCTACCGACGCAACGCCATCCCCATCAGCGAGACCAAGGCCAACCAGCGCCAAGTCCTTGTCACCTGGATGGGGGTCGAGGTCGACGTGGTCGCTGGTCGGGCGGCCAACAACCGAGAGAAGAACGTGCAGCTGTACAGGCTCACCCTGTGGCTGCCCACCAGGGACCACTCGCTGGGGAATCAGCTACTGACCCTCATGGGCCGCTGGATTCGTGCTCCACATTTCCGACGGCCGTTATTCGGAGTCTTCAATGCCGCGTGGGAGGCGATTGGTTCGGGCCGGACTGCCCTCCCGCGGGACTGCCTGGACGAGTTGATGCACGCGTGTTCGCTGCTGCCGCTGGCCTCGTCGAACCTGAGGGCGAGGACCACGGGGATCGTCTCCTGCTCCGATGCCAGCGAGGACGGCGCCGGCACGTGCACCGCCGTGGGGCTGGCCGACGGAGCGGGGCCCTTCCTGAACAGCTTGGGGAGCCCCGAGACTTGGGCCTACCGCGTCGCCGGGTACTTCGGCAAGTGCGTGGTCGAGCTGCCGCTGGAGCCCTGCGCCTTCCGAAGCGTAAGGGTCCTGCACTTGGTGGACTCGCAGGTAGTGGCCTCCATTTTGACTCGTGGGCGCACATCCTCGGCCAAGCTGCGAGGACTGGCACGCCAGTACGCAGCCATCGTCGTGAGCTCGGACTTGCACGTTGGCATCGGTTACATCAAGACGAAGTTGAACCCGAGTGATCGGCCATCAAGATAATTTGTGACTAAGAAATGGCGCCGGAACGCGTCCAAGTAGGCCGCGGTGCCCACAGACGGCGCAGTTGGCTGCAAGAGAGGTCTCAGTTCGGCAAGAGGCGCTAAGCTACGAGATCTGCAGATCACACAGACTACCAGGCAGAGATGTGTTCGCTGTGCGGGCCGTCTGTTCGCTAGGTGGAGATCTCATGATGCACGGTTGTCTCGCGCGCATGACATCGATCGGAGATTCAGTGAATACATTGAGGCCTGCTGGGCCGAGATGGAACCGCTGTATTTGGTAGTCCACGCAGGAGCTGCTCTTCAGCGGTTGATGTCGTCTCTTCGTGGCCATTTGCGGCAGAATTGGAGTCTGATCAGGACGTGGGAGAAGCAATGCACACCTTGCCGGGCCACACCTTTTACTGCCCAGATAGTTCTTGCGTTATCAGCAGCAGCCTGGGACTCGGGCTGGTTTGGCTTGGCTACGGTGCTCCTCGTCGGGTTCGACGCCTTCATGCGAACGGGAGAACTGCTGGCGTTGCGAAGGCAACATGTCCTGGTCAAAGATGGCAGAGCTATCCTTCACATAGAGACGCCCAAGATGGGCTTCAGAACTGGTTTCTCTGAAGCGGTCAGCCTGATAGATGGGTCAGTCGTAGAGTTCTCAGGGCTCGGTGTTTGACTCTAGAGTCAGATGACCTCGTGTGTGAGCTGAGCGCTCCAGAAGCACGACGTCGATTGTACGTTCTGTTGCGCATGTTTGATCTTTAGAATAGAGGTCTCACGATGTATAGCCTCCGGAGAGGAGGTGCTGCAGCTCATTTCACGCGTCACAAGAACATGGAACTCACTCTCCAGCGGGCAGATGGGGCGGCACAAAGCTTGCAAGGATGCACCTTTTTCGCAAGCGGTTGCTGACACCGTTGCGCTCACCCTTTCTGCCCAGCTCCAGAAAAAGAATTCGGTTTGCCGCTGAGAAAGAGAGAGAGAGAGAGAGAGAGAGAGAGAGAGAGAGAGAGTGTGAGAGAGAGAGATTTCAAGAACGTTGCACTGTAAAGTAAAAAACGTCGGCAAGTCACTTTTAGGGAAACGTGGAAGGCTTTCGGTTTGGCCCTGGGGTGAAATAAATTGCTGCTGGTGTCTGGGGCGTCTCGGCGGTTGACGAGTTGCTAGGCCTCTTGGCACAGGTGCGGTCGGCGGTCAGGCGGGGAGCCTTTTCGTTCGGTGCCTGCGCGGTGGAGGCTTAGAGATTCGCCAACCGCCGGCTCTTGCCAGGTCCCCAGGGCCGTTGACCTTGAGTTTGCTTGCGCCTCCCCTTCCAAAAATGTGGCGGCGCGACGCCCCCCCAAAAAAGTCCCCCAAACATGATATACAACGCCTCAGGAGTTGGGGGTTTGTTTGGGGTCTCGTGGGGTGCGCCGCCGTCGGTTTCGTGGGTGTGCGGCTCAAGCGGCCCTCCGTCCATCCCCTGGCTGCCACCTTCTAGGCCAGGCTCTCGGTTTGGCCCTGGGGTGAAACACTTTGGTCCTGGTGTCTGGGGCCTCTCGGCGGTTGACGAGTTACTAGGCCTCCTGGCACAGTTGCGATCGGCGGTCAGGCGGGGAGCCTTTTCGTTCAGTGCCTGTGCGGTGGAGGCTTAGAGATTCGCCAACCGCCGGCTCTTGCCAGGTCCCCAGGGCCGTTGACCTCGAGTTGGCTTGCGCCTCACCTTCCAAAACTGTGGCGGCGCGACACCCAACAAGAGAAGTCCCCCAAACATCACCATCATCATCATCATCATCATCATCATCATCATCATCATCATCATCATCAACATCAACATCATCATCATCATCAGCATCATCATCATCGTCATCATCATCGTCATCATCATCATCATCATCATCATCATCATCATCATTATCATCCTCATCATCATCATCAGCATCATCATCATTATCATCATCATCATCTTCATCTTCATCTTCATCATCATCACCACCTTCATCATCATTATCATTGTCCCCAGCATCGTCACAAGTGTCGGCACATCCCTCGCACGCTTCGTGGTCCCATAGGGAGTTCCACCGAAGTCCACAGTGGTGGTACCCACATAATGTGTCCACGCCACCCGTGTCGGTACACCGCTCACACGCTCCGTTGCCCCATTGGGAGCGCCACCGAAGCCCGCAGCGGCGATGCCCACATGCGTCCACGCCACCCCATCCGTTTCCGCACACCTTTCACACGTCTCGTGGCCCCATTGGGATCTCCACGGAAAGCTCCAGTTGCGGTGTCCACTTGCGTCCCCGCCGCCCATTTCGGCACACCCCTCACACGCTTCGTGGTCCCATAGAGAGCTCCAGCGACGGCCCCAGAAGCGGCACCCACATGCGTACACTTTTCACACGTGTCGTGGCCCCAGGGGGAGTTCCACCGATGGCCCCAGAGGCGGTGCCCACACGCGCACCCGCAACCCATGTCGGCACACCCCTCACACATTTCGTGGTCCCACAGGGGGTTTCACCGAACTCCCCAGCGGCGGTGCCCACATGCGTCCCCGCCACCATTTCGGCACACCTCTCACACGCTTCGTGGCCCCTGTAGGGAGCTCCACTCAAGGCCCCAGCTGCGGTGCCCACATGCGGCCCCGCCGCCCATGTCGGCACACCTTTCACACTTCGAAGCCCCATAGGGAGCTCCACCGAAGGCCCCAGCGGCGGTGCCCACATGCGCCCCCGCCACCCACGTCGGCACACCCCTCACATGCTTCGTGGCAACATGAGGATCCCCTCCCGAAGGCCCCAGTGGCGGTGCCCGCATGCGTCCCGCCACACATTTCGACACGCCCCTGACGCTTCGTGGCCCCATGGGGAGCTCCACCGAAGGCCCCCGTGAATATTCCCACATGCGCTCCCGCCAATCATTTCCGCATACCCCTCACACGTTTCGTGGCCCCATAGGGAGCTCCACCGACGGCACCAGTGGCGGTGCCCACATGCGTTTCCGCCGCCCAGGTCGACACATTTTTCACACGTTTCGTGGCCCCAGAGGGAGCCACACCGAAGGCCCCAGAGGCGGTGCCCACATGCGTCCCGGCCGCCCATTTCGGCACACCCCTCACACGTTTCGTTGCCCCATGGGGAGTTCCACCGAAGGCCCCAGTGCCGGTGCCCACATGCGTCCCCGCCGCCCATTTTGGCACACCCCTCACACGTTCCGTGCCCCCATCGGGAGCGCCACCGAAGGCCCCTGTGGCGGTGCACGCATGCGTTCCACCCATGTTGGCACACCCCTCACACGCTTCGTGGCCCCATAGGGAGCTCCACGGAAAACCCAAGTGGCGGTGCACACATGCGCTCTCTATGGGACCACCTACGCTACCGCCGCCTGCTGACCCCCCTGCGGTTCAGGCACAAGTTTTTCTGAGGTGACTGGGCTTCCGACACATCAGGATGGCCGGACGCCATCTTCACGGACGGATTTGGGCATGCGTCAGCGATTCCAAAATTATGCAGATGTGGGTGGTCAGCGATGCAGGTATCTGAACAGGGTCTGCCACTGCGGGCAGCGTGCGGGCCGCTTCCAGAAGCACGACAAACAGTTGGCCGACCGGGGAGATATGCGGTATTTCAGGGCCTGATGGCTTACCCGCACGTCAGAATGGTAGTATCCGATTTGGCTGGCCGGGTACGCGAGGCCAACAGCTGGACGGCTCAGTTGGGAGCCTCGGCTGGCAAACATGCAGACGTCCGGGGGGAGATCTTCTCAACGGTCGAGGGAGCGCCGCCTGCAGTTGCCTGGGCGCCAGCACATACATGCGTAGGCTTGCACCTGCAGATGGGCTTTCATCCGATGCGGTGGCATGGTAATTTGTAGGCGGATTATTTCGCGAAGGAAGGTGCGCTCAAACATCGGGCGTCGAGAGTCCTAGCGGACATCTACCAGGTGGAGTTGAGGCGCCGCCAGAAAATGAGCCAGTACTGTTATCGAGTCATGGAATATATGGCCGTAGAAAGCGCTTGGGAGGTCCCTGGTCTCTTACCAAAGTCGCGGAAGCGTGGGGCGCCAGTGCAGCTGGTCATTCAAGAGTATCTTTCGTGGAGCTCCAGGACGGCTACATGCGTTGCATGCGCTGTGGCAAAGGTGCTTAAGGACAAACGGTCAGGGCTAACCCTCAGCCAACCACATGTGCGCCGACGGAGCTGGGACGAATCAGGTGTCGGGCCCAGGTCGACTTCGTCTGCAAGGCAGACATCCCCACCAGGCAGTTTGAGGCGGTCGCTCATGCGTTGCTGGGAGCTGACCGTGTTTCGGGTGAAAGGCCGACAGTGGTGGATGAGGTAATCGAGGACCAGAGCTCGCACTGTCCTTGCCGGGTCCGTACACAGCGTGCAAAATATGTTTTGTTCAGCGAAGCTTATTCGGGCTCGCCGGGTTTATTGCAGCGCTGTGGTGGGGGCCAGCGCCTGTGCACCACCACGGCCTACGGCAAGCAGAACAGTCGGGCCCCTCCCCCACCAGGAAACAAAACCAGGGCCTCGACAAATTTGTTTTGTATTTTTTTGCCATATTGATTGGTGGGAACAAATGCGGTCGTCGCCGCGCGCTTGCCCTGATTTAGCAATGTCGGTCGACGGACGCACGCGAAGCGCGCGAGTTTCCTTCTCATAATTGTTTCTGCCGTGTGCCGCGTTTTCATGACGCACGTGCCACGCCTTGCCTTTTCAGACTCAATCGCTCGTACTAGTGCGCGGACCGCATGCAGGCCGCAGTCCACGCGCGCTAGCGCGGCGCACCGCAGCGCGCTTCGAAACGATGTTGGGCACAATGGCATTTTTACCGCAACGCCGCGAATTTGTTAGCCACCCCGCGCGGGTGACGCCGAACGCATGCGTGTCCCACCGCATGTGCGCCGCCGGAGCTAATTTTCCGATTTCGATTGTGAATTGTATCGCGGGCGCGTGTCAGGCGCCCTCGACGTGTCACGTAGGCCCGCGCATTGGGCGCCCACGCATCATGTCGGAAACATGTCATCTT